TGCTTACTCAAAATCATGCTTGAATATTACGTCATAAGTATCATGTGGCGTCCAAACACTATGGAATACCCCTGTAAAGGAATTAACCCCAGCACGAAGTTAAGGGTGACCTTATGACTCCTGAGTTCCACGATGATAGAATTTCGAATGGAACTTGCACGCCACCAAGAACTTGGGGGCGCATGACAGTATAGGTCGAGACATCTCCCGATCTAAGAATCAAGTTCATTTCACTAAATACGAACAATGACTTAAGGCAGATATGCCAGAGTCAAAACCAGGTAAATAGGGAAGAGCAGAACTGCCCATGCCTTCTAACCAAGTGCTCCGACCAATTCGAGGTACTTTAGGAAAGCGACAAAATGAACGACTACGAAGTAGAACTCGTTCTGACGCTAAACCTATCACGCTAGGGCTTATACCTATCACGTGTCCATACCAACACTTTAAGACAGAAGTGAACTCTCTGCGACGAGGAGCACTTAAGAAGGTAACCGTTCCGAGTGGACGCACCAACATTTATCATTCCAAAAAGAATGGATATATACGGTTCATCTCTGACAGTCCAGGAACTGAACAAAAGAGATATAGCTAAAACCGTGTCCGATCCCAAGGATACAAGACATGCTACTGATCTGACGGAGGTTCAGGAAAACGAATACCAACGAGTACCGATGGCTATGCAATAGTCCCGACATCTTCCAAAGAAGATGGGAACACTACATGCAGACTTGGAAAATGTCCGTGCATACGATATATTGATGTTCTACTCATCTAACTACGGCGATCTAGTAGATCCGTTGAAAAAGTTAGTGAAGTTCTCCTAAAGGCTTCGAGAAGCCGGACTTAAGATCAATTGCTACCAAGTCCTTCTTCGGCAGAAGAGAACTTGAGTATCTGAGCTACTGGATTACTTGAGAAGGAATCCAACCCGTAACCAAGAAATAGATGTGATCCAGAACATCGCTCATCCTACAACAGAGAAGAAACTTGGTAGATTCATTGGACTAGTGAACTACTATCGAGACATATGGATCAGACGATCACATGTACATACAACGTCGGGGATCCCAAGAAAAAAGGAATCCCTGTCCATTTCATTGCTTGACAATAATTGATCCCGTAACTGAATGGTTCGAGATGCCGAGATCTGCTCCAATGCAGCAGACGACGTAGCCATCGTTCTAGAACAGACGCGGCTCACCCAGTATCCATGGCCTGCTGAGGTTATCATGGATAGCGAACTGAGTTCCGCGCAGAAGTCGAGAAGACACTCCCGGGATGAATATGGACTTCGTCGCAAGTTCATTACCACACGTGTTCAATCGTGACGCGATTCAAAGTCCGTTTTCGAAGTAAACTTGAAACACATCAAAGAACGTCGCCAACGACCATCCAGAAACACACTGATAAGAAAACGCGACGCGTGTCCCCATTCAATACAATGTCAAGATACTGTGTGGTTCAACAGTATCAGCGCCGCAAGTACGGTCAGCTCAAAGTACAAAGTCCTTACAAATGACCGAGTCAATAACAATGGCACTGTACGGCTCCGACATGCTACGCCAATGGCGGCACAGTCTACCAGACTTGGGACATAAGGTATTTACACCCATACAAGGCCTGTCCCCTTGTAGGATTGCATCGTGCGCACGCACATGTCAACATCCAATCTCCGGAGAGTGCCCGCACTTTAATTCATATGTTCTCCTTGTCCGACTGATGTCGTGCCTTTGTGACCCTTGTCAGGGGCGAATGCAAATACACGGCTCTTAGCCTTATTCGCGACTCAATCCTAGATAGGTTTGAGTTCGACTCATGACGTAGTCCTGCGAATAGTCATTGAGACAGGGTTCTCATGACTGCTAGTCATACTAGGTGTCGATGAAACATCGCTCTAGATATTTAGCCGGCGTGGAAAGCTTCCACGCTACTAGACAACTACTAGCTGAAGTTTCCACGTGTTCCGGAAATGGACCGTGGAGTACGTAGAGTTATTGCCATAACCTACGATATCACACTTCGAGGCCTCCCACGGGAGACCAACTTCAATGAGCTTCACAACGATCTCTCTCGTGGATTGGTTTTCGTTGCTTTCTAATCTCTCTCATAACTTTCATTCTCTCAAACTCAAAACACTCGAAAGATCTTTACACTAGCTTTTAGCGTAGTGCACTATGCTGAACGCACTGCTGTTTTGGTCAGATACTAAGGACTGCGGTAAGAAACACTCAGAGTCGACAGTCGCCACTGAGGGGAGTGAAAGCGTTACTGTTCCTCCCACGACTCAGAGTATCCGTGAATAGATTGGGTCGTGCTTCATGAGTCAACACGATGGAACAGAGAACGCTGGCAAGAACACGTTCTCAACGAAACCAAAAGAAACGGCAAACTGGAGGATTCGACAGGAGTAAAGCATCCTGCCAACGAACCGTTTCACGTAGATCCCACGTTGACTTCCGTATGAATCAAGATCAACTACCACGATGCATTGATCTAACACGCTACAAGCTAGCTTTACCGATCGTATCAAGCAAAGCTCACAACACAAGATTATGAATTACTAAGAAGCGAACTTTGCAGTTTACCTTGCACTCGTCTTGAATAGCGCAGTTGATATCGTTGGTTGGTAGCTACCTCTACGAGATCCCTCTATTCAAGTAGTATTTCCTCACGTTAGCAGAATCATTTCCAACATGGCCCACACAATCAACGCCTTGCAGCAGCAAGAAGCCATGGTACCGCTCACCCACCAAGACGAGCTCCTCGCCGTGCAAACTCTGCAGGATGATGAAGCTCTCCTTCGAATCATTTCCAACATGGCCCACACAATCAACGCCTTGCAGCAGCAAGTTGATGAGCTCTCCGCCGCAAAGGAAAAGGGACCTGACACGCAAGTAGAAGTCTAACTCACCATAGTATTGAACCCATTTTTAAGAAACTTGCGTGGATTCTGTACTATTCAATAAGCTGTGCGCCAGGGTTTGTCGTAACCCGCACAAAATACCTCAATGAATCAGTGCCGGTACATTCGATTCATCATTTGATTCTTTCAATTTAGTTGGTTTACTGGACAAGGGCAACATCCACACCCACATAAGGTAGGAAAGTTCCAGGGCAGATTGTTGTGATGATTTTCACTCCGACCAGCGAACAGGACTGAAGGACATAGCATCTCATTTCCTATTGGTGCAACTTGTCACACAAATCTTTAGGATGCTGCCTAACAAGGATAAATTTGACCACATCCAAACTGCTCTTTTTCGTCACAATCATCTGCAGAGGTTCCCTGGTAGTTAGTTCGTGCTTGTCTAGAGGCATCCAGTACAGTTGCAACCACAGAGGAGAGTCCCATGGCAAACTGGATTTTCACTCTTCCCTTCATAAAACCGTCCACCAAACCAGCCTTGCTCCTGCACTCTCATTCTGCCACACATTTCTTTAGGAATGCTGCCTGATAATGATGTGTTTGCAACTTCCAAGCTTGTCAAATTCCTCATAGCAAGAAGTTCCGTGATGGGTAAGGGACCTAACAAATTTGTATTCTGAAGTTGCAGCTTCTTGAGATTGGAGAGAAGCCCAACCTCCGTTGGAATCGAGCCAGAGAACTGATTGTTATTGATTCGCAAGTATTGCAAGTTTGTCAACTTGGAAAAGAGCACAGGGGGGAGTGACCCTTCCAAGTGATTGGCTTGGATGTCTAGGCCAATCAAATCTGATGGGACAGAAAGGGAAAGAAACCATATGAGAGAAGCGCAGAACAGACATCTGGAATTTCAACTGCTTTACAACATCCTACTCACTTGTCAACTCGAACAGTTCCGGAGGCATAGTTCCTGCTATTGAGTTTTCCCTGACGGTCAGAAAATTCTGTAGTTTGGGAACTTTGTGAGTCCTCAAAATCAGATTAACAGAATCAATAATGAAAACCACAGTACTCACCAGTTCTGTTAAGTGCCCAAGCTCAGTTGGAACAGTGCCATCTATTTTCCAATCAACCAAATGCAGGTTATCTAGCTCTGATAGCATGCCAATTTCAGCTTTGCAGAGAACCCAAGTTAGAACCCATGTCAGTCAACATACAACTTAGGAAACAAAGATCAAGTGTTGCTCCTTACAAGGCAATGGCATCTCATCACCAGATTTCCTTTGGTCGAGTGCTAAGAATTGTAGTCTTGGCATGTTCCTAATGATCTCTGGAAGAAGAGAGTCAGAGATCAGTCCAGGGCTTGCCATTACAGCGACTGTTAGCTGATGCATTCGGAAGAATTCAACAGGGAGGGAGCCTTGGATAGTGGAGACAATGAAGGTTGTCAGCAGTATTGGATGGACACAAATCCAAAGAAGCACCAGGCAAACGAACCTGTTAGGTCTGTGTTGACCACTTTGAAGATTGTTAAATTGCCTAGTTTTCCAAACTCTGAAGGCAGAGAGCCAGAAATCGGTGTTGTTGAAATCACGAGTTCCTCTAGACTCTGTAGAAATCCGAGCTCAGTTGGAAGTGTGCCAGAAATTGCAACTGTATTGAAATTCAACATTGTTAGTTTTGTCAGCAGTCCAACCTCTGTTGGGATCGTTCCTTCCACTTGCATATCTCGCAGGAATGCAAGTTTTTGCAAGCTCTTGCCCAATATCGAGATCTCGGGTGGCAGCGTTCCTTCCAGATTATTGGTGATCCAAAATTCCAATGCTTTGATTTCTCCTTTGTCATTACAGTGCAGTTCTGGGGAGTGAACTTTGCCAAAATGTGTTTGTTCCCAGTTGCATTCATTTGTGTCCCAGTCCATCCATCCATGATGTTTCACCCAGTGGTCTCCTCTCAAAGAATAATAGAATGTGGCCATGGCAAACCTTTGTAGCAGTCTCCATTTTGGTAGATCTTGTTGGGTGGAAGTTTTATTGTTGATGTTGTTGGTCAGCCATTGATAGGCTTTAGACTGAGGAGATCGAGGCCGTTCCATTGCATAGAGTGTGTATTCTGGTAGATTGAGTGACTCCAAAAAGGTCTGGGCTGTTGCAGTGGCTTCCGCAGGATTTGCAGGATTACGACTTGATCCATTTTGATTAGGTGGCTGATTTTTGCTTCCTTGTTTGGATGTCAGCACAACAATTAGGACAATAATCATGGATATAACAACGAAAGCCACAATGATCTCAACTGAGAGTGAACAAAGCAGCTTTTTCCTCCAGTACTCTCTTGGTCTCTGGTTGGTTGTTAGTGGCTCTGCATTTGGCAACAGGCCTGTCTGCTGATCATCATCAATAGGATTGGCAATGATATCCTCAGTCTGTTCTTGATCCCAATTGTCCAGGTCGTCGTCGTCGTCGTCGTCGTCACTTGACATACCAGAACTACTATTGGAATGATTCTCAGTGTCGTCATTAGCAAGACCCGGACCATCAATGGCATAGGCACCAGGATTACTTTGATGTTGTCTAGAAAATTCGGGTTGCCTTGTTAGAATGGTTTGTTGTGGCTGTGGCATTTGTGCAACCTTTGTGGTTCTGTCGTGGAGGTTGTTGTCACTCTCCTGGCGGGTTGTCTTGCTACCATTTTCGGCGACCTGTACCAGCTCCAAGTCCCCAGCTGTCTCGTGACTTGCAGCAGCACCTGCTCTTTCTCTGACAATCTTCATAATATCAAAGCCACTTGTGGTGGCCAAGGTTGGAGGAGGAGGGGCAGCACCATTGGCAGTAGGACTACTGGTAGCAGAAGAAGCAAAGTAGCTCGAGGGAGCATCGGAGGCAGCTGTTGATACTTTCTCTTCTTCACCGCTTTCCGCACTGCCTTGCTGCAACCTCCTCTCCACAATCTTGAGAAGATCAACATCATCATTGTCGCTACCATTGACGTTGTTGTTGTTGGTAGACATGGTCGTCGATCGGTCGGGTGCCAGATACAATAGAGAATAGATCGAGGCTTTGCTGCATGCTCGAGGCAAGCAGTTAATTAACCCTACTAGAAAAATTGCTCGCAAGAAAAGGGGTTAATGTTGTTTGCCCCCGTCAATCACATTCATGGGAGGTGATTTAGATAGCCAAGATCTCCGGAACATCGTCCTCTGCAAGTCAATTGATTGTCATCTCCTCCATTGGCAAACAGTACCGTAGCACGGAGAGCTCATCTGAGAGCACCATGATGCTCTCAGGTGCCAGAGCTTGACTCCATCCCCGGCCTCCACTCTCCCCCATAGTCTAACTACATGTAATCTCCCCCTTAGTCCACTCTGTGACCCATACGTAGTAACCTCTTTCTTCAATCAGTGACGATGGTGGACCTACCAACAAAAATGGCGTTTGACGGCCACCAGAGCGATGGCGAGAGTACCATCAACTCCCGACGTTCCGGCTTTGAGGATTCAACACCCGGTTCAGAGTCTACTCTCTTGGAATTTCCAGTCCACGTCGAACTGTTTCCCTACAGTAGTAGTGCTGAGAATTCCGTCCTAAAGGTGGAACTGCCACCCAACCGACGCCACCAAAGGGACGATGGATCTGTCCTGTTGTATTGGGGCAGCTGGGTCGAATACGAGGAGCTCAAGGAGGGATTATTCAGCAAGATTCCTGCCAAATATCGACACTGGCATTGTTTCTACTCTGATCGGGGGAAATCCTACCGTTACTTAAAAAAGCAAGGCTATCGTCCCAGGTGGGCCATTCGTCCGGGATCCACCTTGAAGCTCTATGAGTGCATCGTGTTTCTTCAGTTTCCCATTGAAGGAAAACAAGAAAGATTTCGAATGGGAGTGACGCAATTCGAATCGGTCAGAGAGTTCAAGAAAAGGATTCGAATGAGAAAACGACTCCGTATGCCCTCGCTACGTATTCGACAACTGGTGTTGCTCCATGACGGTCAAGAATTGCAGGATGATCAGCTGATTGGGTCCTACAGTTCCATTGTCCATGGATCCATCATTGATATCATACGACTTGTGCCCACTGCTAGAATCTGTAGCATTGTTCAAAAGCTTGGCACTGGGATTGCTTTTCAAACTTGTACCAGGATCCCCCGGGTGGAGCACCGAGGAATCACACTGTCACAACTGTCACAGGTGGCCATGCAGATCCATCTCAGATGCATTCCAGAGAAGTGGACCAGCACCAATCCGGCTAGGAAAGGAGAGCAACTACAGCCACATGAGGTTACCCTCTACGATCTCGTGGAGTACTACATCAAACCCACTACCCGTGAGCTAAATTGTAGCTATGTGGAAGCCGTCGCGGAAGATGATCAACAGATCGGACGCTACATGGTCAGCCATTGGTGGGGCGAACCGGTCTTTCGAATGATTTCTTGTCTCAACAGGCACAGTCGGGACCGAAATCTGGGACGAGACACACCCTACTGGATATGCGCCTATGCGCTGTGTCAACATGATGTCTCGGGCGAACTTGGTACCAGTCCCCAGGACAGCCCCTTTTTCAAGGCAATGACCATAGCAGAGGGTGCCGTATCGGTGTTGGATGAGCAATGTGTGTGCTATAATCGCGTCTGGTGCGCCTATGAAGTTTCTTTGGCATTGAAGGATCTTGTCAGAGTCAAAGCTGAAAAGGGAGGCAACTACCTCTACGATGTATATAGCATCAATGAACAAGGGCTAGCGGTTGGCCTTACGGACGGGCTCGCGCAGATAGACACTGGGAAGAAAGGAAATACAAAGTATGCTCCCGACACAGATGAGAGCTCCTGCTCGGATGACAGCACCGATAGCAGTTCCGACGACAGTAGCAGCGAAGACGAAGGTGCAGCAGCAAGGCGCCAACGCCTCCATGAGACTCAGAAAGAATCGCGACAAAAGTGCTTTCCTTTGGAAGTCAGCGCAAAAGCCCTGAATGTCAAAATTGAAAAGGCAGAAGCATCCCGCAGAGAAGACAGAAAGTCGATTCTTCACTGCGTTTGCGGCAGGAATCATGATTCGCCGGATGACCCACCAGCCACCCACGAAGCCTATGAAAATGTCAACAATCTACTTCGTGGCAAGTTTGCCGCTTCCACCTATCGACTCGCCCTCGAGCAAGGCTTGGACATGCAACCATTCCGCACTGCTCTCGCCAACAGCCCTCTGACAAGCGTTGTGGCATCCTTCCGCCGTTGCCACTGTGCGGGTGTCATCAAAGAGGCCCAGCATTTTGCTGCGAGTATACCACTGACCGTGGAGAATCTAAAGCTGGATTACGCCAACGTCGGCTTTAGCTCCTCAGATGAGTTTGCCCTTGGTCTTGGTCGCCTCCAGCAGCTAAAGTCGTTCACTCTTTACTTTCGACATGGCGAGCATTGGACAGGCCACTCGGCATCTGAAGATGCTTGCACAGATATCAAGTCGCTTTGGTCGGAATTAGGAAGATTGCCTTTGCTCGAAAGTGTTACGATGGATCTATCGCAGAATTGTCGCTTAGAAGCAGCTGATGGTCTTGCGGACTGGCTGCTGCTAGAGGAACGAGTGCATCTTACAACATTGGATCTCTCAATGTCGAGCTGTGCGCTACCCGACAAGACGGTACTGCAAGTTTTCCGCAGTCTCATGTTGCTTTATGAGAGCAGAAACACAAGCAACCCTTTGTCTTTGCGACTGTATTTCGGTAAGCACCCTCTTGCAGTGGCGCTCTTTATGAAATATTCGCGCTTGAATGATTTTGTGTGGTCCGAGAGCTATCGTTACATCAAGACTCTGGATGAACTTGACGAATCGGTAACTTCAGGACAAACGGCGGAACGATTGGTGAACCTGAGAGTCGATGACGCTTTGGATGAACGGGAATTTCTGCTCTACAACCTGGAAGTCCGACGCCATAATAGTGGCGGGGGCGACCCATCAGAGGAACTTTTGGAAGAACGGGAGAAGTCCTTTGCATTTCGCAAGCGGTTCGAGGCCCGTTATCGACCCGAACTGGAAAGACTACGCAAGGATGTCTCGGACCCCGTGCAACACGTTTGTGAGGTTGCCTTGATCGACTTCAAAGCTATGCTAGTTTCGTTTCTGTCGGAGGAGGGCCAAGACGAAGAGCCCTAGCTAGCCGGAGAACCGGAAATGACACTTCATTCAGAGCTGTCTCAAGTTGGTCTCTGGAGGAGGCGCAATGAGGAGCTCAGCAAAATTCCTTGGACTGAGAGCGCAATGCTCGACTAACGACCCAACTAATACATGGATTGGTTGGCTAGCCCGAACTTGAGTGTTTGTTATTAAGTAGTAGTTTTAGTAACTGTTTTACTCCATCATGAAGGTTGCAATTTTTAACTCGCAAGTAATGTTGTTGGGCCAGTTAGTCAATCGATCGAAAGCTATTTGTGGTGTGTGTGTGTGAAGTGCGTTGTGTAATGGTTGTCGTGATCCCTTGGACGACGCTGAGGTGGTTGGTTGGTTGGGTTAGGTAGGTAGGTAGCACATAGAGAACAAGTAAAAAGGTTTGGAGCCAATCCATCCATGCTGCCGCCCCATGTGCACAAAAACAAAAAATCTTTCACAATCAAATCAACAGGATGAAAGAGGACCCCATCAGATCTGATCTTGCTGTTACGATTGTTGTTGTTGTGCTGCTGCTGCTGCTGCTGCTGCTTCCTGGGGCGTTGGATCGGGTCCTCCTGGTGTTGGCGCACTTCTGTTAGTGGCACTGGTAGTGTTGTTGATGGCTGGTTTTCCCCACATGGACATGGGAGCATTTGACCCCGTGTTGGCTCCTGGCAGTGGTGCAAAATCATCGGCGAGATCAAAGCCCTTTTTGTTGTTGTTGTTGTTACCCTTCTTGTTGCTATTGCTATTATTGTTACTGTCGGCACCCTTGCCTTGCTGTCGGATTTTTTCGGCGGCCCGTTCATTGGCTTTACGAATTTCCATGGCAGTGGGTACGGATCCACGCGGTTGTTTGGAGTACCATTCCTTCTTTTCTCGCAATTTGGTGACGGTGGGTTCCACCATTTCCAGCGTGGTGGGTGGATTCAATCCAATGAGACCAAACTGTTCAAACGTATCGACGCTGAGAGTGAATGGTCCTGATCCCTTTTTATCTTGGTTTTTGTTACCGCGATCGCGTTTCTTCTTTCCCTTGCCCTTTCCAAAGTACTCATCTTCCTCGGCGTTCTTCTTGGAGACGGGTTTGAATCCGGCAAACGGATCGTCCTTGACCGCCACGACGTCTTCCTTTTTATCTTCCTGTTTGGCGGCATTCTTGTCTTGCAAGTAAGTAGTGGTGAGGTAATCGGCGAGATAATCACAGAGTGCCTGTTCGGCTTCGTAAGGAACTTTTTTCAGTTCTTCCTCTTCGACCTTTTTCAAGTACGCCTGATGTTCTTCGTCTCGTTTCTTTTTGTCTTCTTCGTACTGAATCTTCTTTTGCGCTCGAACCGCTCGTTGGTAATTGTACCAGACATTATTTTTTTCTCGAAAATCGGCGCGGAGGGCATCTTTTTCCTTGAGTTTCTCGTTGAATGCATTGCGAAATTCATCTCGTTTGGCAAAATGAGATTGCAGCGTAGTGCGCTTTTCTCCATCTTTGTCGGACATGGATTTGATGACTTGTTGCTGTGCTTCGACTTTTTGTTGAATGGCATCGATTTCCTTGTCTTTTTGTTGGAGGAGTGCTTGAATGGTTTTGCGTTGTTCCTTGACATTGTCCATGTCGCCTTCGGCCGACTGCAACGATGCGACAATTTCCTTGGATTTGCGGAGCGCGTCCATTTCCTTGAGTAGTTTCTTTTCTTCCGGTAACGACATGGACGTGGTCTCTTGTCGCCGTTGTAATTTGGACAATTCCTTGTCAATGTCGGCGACCGACGTGAATTTGACCGACGATCGCGCATCCTTGCGATCTTTGGCAATGCGATCGGCTTGCGACTTGAATTGATCCAGTTTGCTGCGAATGGCTTTCTTCTCTTCAATCAAGGCATTCTTGGCACTGCGCAGTTTCTGCAGTTCTTCCTTTTCTTTGCCCAATCCGGTCGTCTTGTTTTTGTCCAACGCGGCATCGATTTCCTTTTGCACTTTTTGACGATCTTCCTTGAGTTTGTCCAATGCGGCCGTCAGTTCGGCTAGTTCCTTCTCGTGGTCTTCTTTACTTGGTTTGGGGACCTGCAGTGTGTACATACAAGCAAACAACAAGACAAAAGAGTAATGACAGAAGACAAAAGACAAAAGGGTACGACAGAGTGAGAGGAGAGAAAGATGAGTGATGGATTGGAGCATTGGTCGATCCCGAACCCTAACTCAATCACGTAGAAACGGTACGGAAGCTACGCACCCTAGGAATGGGCTTGGAGAGATCATAGAGTTCCTCAATGGGCGTCTCATCCTTCTTGTTGTTCTTGTTGTTCTTGCCCTTATTGTTGTTGCCACCAGTACCGTCTGCCGCTGCTGTTTCTTCTTTCTTGGTCTCTTCGGCAGCTGCTGCTGGAGCTGCCGCCTCTTCTGCTTTCGTCTCTTCCGCCATGGTCACACAACACAATGCTTCTCCTGACTAAAGCCAATTCAATTCGACAAAATGTGGCCACAAGAAACAACGGTCAAGAGAATAGTTTGACGGACGATGGACAGGCCCTACTCGGAAACTCACTTACTAGCTAGAGTTAGTGGTTCTTAGACTCTTCCACGTGGAAGCGTTCCACTGACCGAGGAAGGATCTTTTGACATCACCAACACATTATTATTATTATTTATTATTGACACCGGTCGCTGCCACCCACACAGGATCGTTGGACAAAAAAACAGCAAAGGGAGGAACAAGACCATCTCAATCTAGATCTAGCTAGAAGCTCTCTAGTGCAGTGGTCTCTCTGATCTTCTAGCTAGTTATCCATCTGATACAATAAGCTGAACACAAGCTGAGCAACTCAAGTACCAAACAATGAAGAGGCTGAGGAGACCAAGACAGCAGCCAGCAGCATGCCAATTTCAAGGTATACCTCCAGCAGAACACTCCAGGAATTGGACACCAACAAGGAAGCCAAACACAAGATCAGTTCCCAGACAATTCCTCATGTCATCCCTCCTTTTGATGGTTTTACTGTTGATATCGTCACTGGATTGGGTTGCTGCAGGTTACCCCTTTTCCAGAATTTACGCTCCAGCCTTTCAACAGAACTGCAAGACGCATCATCCATTTAATCATCACTATCATCAGCACCAAAGGAAAAGGAAATCATTCCTACATGTACAACCACCACATCAGGGGGTCTTTCAGAGGGTATCTTCCACATCCTTGCAGCTACAAAGCAGCCACAAGAAGGATACCCCTGACAAGAATAACAACCACAATCTACCATCACAGCAACAAGACTCATTAAAGATACCCCGTCACGTGGCGCTCATCTGCGATGGCAATTCTCGATGGGCCAAAAAACGAGGACTTCCCTCTTCAGCAGGACATGTCGCAGGCGCCAATCAATTGGTCAACATTCTCGATGCTTTGAAAGAGTCGGGAGTCGAATATGCCACCCTCTTTGCCTTTTCTACCGAAAACTGGAAACGACCGCAATCCGAAATTGACGATCTCATGCGCATCATGGAAGAATCCAGTCACAAATTCTACCATAAAGCCATGCGCGAACACGTGCAAGTACAAATACTGGGTGATTTGCAGGATGCACGAATTCCAGCGTCGTTACGACGTGCATTGAGGAAATTGCAGGACGATACGGCCGTCAAAACAGCGCAATCCACGCAACGACCACCCTTTACAGTCTGTTTTGCCATTAATTATGGTGGACGACAGGATATCGTAAATGCCAGTTTGAAATTGGCTCAAGCCATTGCCAATGGCACTATTGCACCCGATCAAGTCGATGAAGCACTGTTTGCTTCCATGCTGTGCACTCGCGATATTCCCGATCCCGATTTGGTCATTCGTACCAGTGGCGAATGTCGACTGTCCAATTATTTGCTCTGGAATATCGCCTATGCCGAACTCTACTTTTGCAATGACATCTACTGGCCCGATTTTGATCAAAAGTCTTGGAATCGAGCGCTGCAATGGTATTCCCAACGAACTCGAAAATTTGGGGGAAGACAACAACAACAACAATCAGCGCAAGAAGAACGTCCTCCAAGGGCGAATGGAGCCACGGCTTCACCCGTCGAGAAAACCAAGTAGTAACGAAACGACGACCAGATGATGCAAACATACATGGCTCGTGGATTGGGTTGAACGGTGGCGGTATGATTACGATTCGATTCGAACAACAAACACGTGAGCGCACGCATTGCGTGAAATTTGTCTACTAGCCAGCGAACCTACGGAACCAGGGATCGATTGGAGACACGATGAAGCTACGAATCCATATTGAGGAATCGGTTCGGCCTCGGCTCGACAGACCAGGAAGGGACTTTTGAGTCCCGCAGCTTCCAGAGCAGAAACGTTCTACTGAATGCATCCAATTATAGCATAGCATGGCTAGCTAACAAGTCAAAAAATTATAGCATGGCTAGCTAGCCAAGAAGAAGTTGAATCGAATCGACTTTTTAAGACTAATTTTAAAAAAGGATCTCATTGCCGCACAGTACGCCAACTCGAGCCATCCTTTCGTTTGGCTCAAACTATTGCCCACAGGCCTACCGAAATGATCACCAGTCAAGCCCCCGAACAGAGCAATGGTTCACAACCCATCATCATGACCTTGGCGGCCTTTCTGGCCCACACTGCAAGAGTACGTGCTTCTTCCCATATGTAGCCAGCTACGGTCTCCCAAGTAGTCATAGTAGGTACCGGTACGTCAGTTCCATGAGGAGCAATCTTCCCATCCTCCTCCAAAAGATTCGTCTCAACCTGGTAAAGAGTGTAGTTCCCAACGCCGTGTTGTGCCATCATGGCGTGCGACAGGAAAGCTTTCCTTGGTGCGTCTTTGCTGCTGTGCACCGCGGCCTTGCACTGGCCCGCCAAGTTCCACCGAGCAACTACACGTAGCAGATTGTCCATTGCCCCGTTTGAATTGGTGTCATCGTCATCATCGTTGTCATCATCACTGGAAGCAGTGGCGTTGGAGGTTTTCCCGTTTACGGCCAAAGTGGTGGGCGAGATGTCGCCAGAATTGGACAGGAGAATCCAGTGATGGTTGGAGGAAAGCACTTGCGCTCCTGACAACAGTTTCGTGTCATCCGAGAGCAGAATCGCCGTGGACGCACCTGTGGTGGTAGCATTTTCGGTATCATGCATGAAGATTCCATCGGCCGATTCTAGGTAGTGTCTTATGATATCCCGAGAGTTCTGTGCTTCTGTTGTCGATGGCATGAAGAATGCGATACAGGCATCGGGATTGGGAATCTGAGTTGGGAGCATTGTCCGTCTTAACTTTTGTCGTACTGCCTGTTTGGGGCGCATTAGATATGAATATAGCCAGCTCTTTCGTTGTTGCTGTTGCTGGATGGTGTCACTTCCGTTTTGATGTGCACCCGAGGAAGAGGGGAGCCAGGCTTCATCACCGGCACCTCGCATGGGAGCAGGGACAATTGACTCGGTCTTGATGTGCTCATTGCATTTTGTCAGAGGCAGGAAAGAGCAAGCCCACGCGTCGTACGAAGTTTTGCCCGAAGAGCAGTTGGCTGTATTGAAGGCAGATTGCATCGGCCCAGTGCTTTCGCGGTCGTTTCGAGATTTCCAAATCTCTTCCACTGCATCTTGAATGATACTTTCCAATTCTGATTCCTCCTCCTTTGACACAATCATGGTGTCGTCGTCGCCTGCTGAATCCATCATGGATGCTTCCAAAGAACAATTGACGGTTGATGCAAGGTAATCCCGCAAATGGCGAAAGAAGGCCGCCTTCTCGGGGTTTTCGATGGGAACAAAGCAGGCTTCATCATCTGTTTCATGTTTTGGTGATGGTTCCCAATCTGGATGATCCTGCCACCATTCATCCATCCTGGATGCATCCTCCCAACTCGCACAGTGGATGTGTTGGTTCCTTTCCGGGCCCAGAGTGTCACTTTGCTGTTCATGGAGCTTTCGACCATCACGATTATCTACCGTTCCCATTGCCTTGATCGTCTTATGGAAGCGGTTCAAATGACTCAAATCCTGGACAACAAAGATCAACGTGAAGGCATAACCAAAAACCACTGTCCAAGCAAACCATCCTGTCCTGTTCTTGCTTTGGTGTCGACGTCGAGAGCGATGATGCTTGTCGTGATGGGTGGCCTTGCCATGGAATCCCATCTTCGAAAAATACAAGCAAAACAGTGCTTGGAGAGCGTATCTTGAGAAAATGAACTAGCTAGCTAGAATGAAGAGATGCTTGAGAGCAGTCTTTGCATCTATAACATTCACAAGCGTGTCATTGGTTCATCCCAGACTTCTTATCTGGAGCCAGCAGAGCTACGAAGACTCTTCGAAAGATCGGGTATGAACTACGCTGTCGCGGTGAATTGCAACTGCTTGTACCGGTACCGTACGTGTAGTAGAGTAACATTCCAGAGGACCATGCTGGGGTCCATTGTCCACTTCAGGCATGTCTAGAGCGGCATCCGGTGCAGTTGCAACCACAGATGAAAGTCCCTTGGCAGATTGGAATTTCAATCTTCATTTCGTAGCACTGTGCACCAAAGCACTGCAACTTCTGCTGATCCATTCTGCCACACATTGCTTCAGGAATGCTGCCTGATAATGATGTGTTTGCAACTTCCAAGCTTGTCAAATTCCTCGTAGCAAGAAGTTCCATGATGGGTAAAGGACCTGACAAATAAGTATTTTGCAGTTGTAGCTTCCTGAGATTGGAGAGAAGCCCAACCTGGGTTGGAATCGAGCCAGAGAACTGATTGTTATTAATTGATTCGCAAGTATTGCAAGTTTTTCAACTTGGAAAAGAGCATACGGGGAAGTGACCCTTTCATTTGATTGGCTTCGATATCTAGGCTAATCAGATCTGAAAGGAAAGAAAGGAAAAGCAACCATACGAGAGAAGCACAAAACAACATCTGGAAATTTCAACTACTTTGCAACATACTACTCACTTGTCAAATCAAACAGTTCAGGATGCATAGTTCCTGCTATTGAGTTTCCCTTGAGGGTCAAAAACTTCTGTAGTTTGGGAACTTTTTGTGAGTCCTCAAAATCAAATTTATTGAGACAATCACTTCTGACAACCACAGAACTCACCAAATCTGTTAAGTGCCCAAGCTGTTTTGGAACAGTGCCATCTAGTTTCCTGTCAATCAAATACAGGGAAGATAGCTCTGATAACAGCCCAATTTCAGCTGTGCAGAGAAACCAAGTTAACCCATGTCAGTCAACATACAACTTAGAAAACAAAGATCAAGTGTTGCTCCTTACAAGGCAATGTCATCTTATCACCAGATTTCCTTTGGTCGAGTACTAATAATTGTAGTTTTGGCATGTTCCTAATGATCTCCGGAAGAAGAGAGCCAGAGAATAGTCCAGGGCTGCCCATCACAACTATCTGGGTTAGCTGATGCATTCGGCAGACTTCAACAGGGAGGGATCCTTTGATAGTGGAGAAAATAAGGCTTGTCAGCAGTTTCAGATAGCTTCAGATCGAAAGAAGCACCAGACACACGAACCTGTTAGGTCTGTATTGACCACTTTGAAGATTGTTAAATTGCCCACTTTTCCAAGCTCTGAAGGCAGAGAGACAGACGACATCACGAGTTGCTCTAAACTCTGCACACATCCGAACTCAGTTTGCACTGTGCCAGAAAGTGCAGCTGCACCCAATTCTAACCTTGTTAGTTTTGTCAAGAGTCCAATCTCTGTTGGGATCGTTCCTTCAAGTTGGAACTCTCGCAGGAATCCAAGTGCTTGCAAGCTGTTGCCCAATAATGAGATCTCGGGTGAAAGTGTTCCTTCAAGATTATTGGTATGCCCAAATTCCAATCCTTTGATTTCTCCTTTGTCATTACAGTACAGTTCTGGTGAGTCAACTTTGCCCCACAAAAATATAAGTTCCCAGTCGCATTCATTTGTGTCCCAGTCCAGCCAGCCATGATGCTTCACCCAATGGTCTCCTCTTGTAGAATAGTAGAATGTGGCCAGAGCGAATCTCTGCACCAGTCTCCAATCTGGTAGTTGTTGAAGACTGGAGCTCTGGTTATTGAGGTCTTTGGTCAGCCATTGATAGGCTTTCGACTGAGGAGATTGAGGCCGTTCCATGGCTTGCATTGTGTTGTCAGGGAGATTGACTGAAACCAAAAATTTCTTAGGCGATTGACTTGCTACCCGTGATGATGTGGAAATCTGAAATGCTCCATCCTGCTGGCTTGCGGATTGATTGATGGCTGTGTTTCTCGGGAGAGACACCATTAAAATTACCAAAAGTATCACTACAATCACAGCAAGAGCCACCGTAGCTTGTAGAGAAAGGAACAGGACCAAGCGTTGTCTCCAATAGATTCTGGTCCGTCTGGAAAATATCAGAGGCTCTGCATTCTGTAGCTCTCCTGATTGTAGATCATTGTCCTCATTGACAGGATGTGCAACAACATCATCACCATTTTCTTCGGCTTCAGTGGCATCCTCCACCTCATCACCTGTTCCCAATCCTTCAACGGCATAGGCCCCAGGAATCCTTGGTCGTGGAGGTTGTGTCACAGTTCTGTGAGGTTCAGGTTCAAGCTCTTTTTTTTTTGGCATTCTGCCAATAAAGTCGTAGCATCTTGCTGTATTTCTGGCCTTGAAGTGTGCCTTATTTCAACAAGCTCAAGACACCTGGGGCCCCCTTTTGCTTCAAATGTATCTCTTTGCTTGTTTACGACATCGTTGCTCTTGGCGACGGATGGTGTTGTTGGTGTTGGTGAAGTGGTTGTCAAACTGCAGGGGTCAGTTTGGTTATTGCCGTGCACATGTCGTTCCTGTCTCGGCAGAACGAACATTTGAGAAGCAAATGCATTACCCTGCAACCGCATCTGAACAATCTGGAGGATATTAAAGTCATCATCGTCAACATTAACAAATGAATCTCTGGGTTGATGGCCGGTGGGTTTCGACATGATTTCTAGCTAGCTAGTGGAGGCGTGGAGGCAACCTTATTGTTGTTATGCTCTTCTCCTTTGTTTGTTTCTGTAGTTTTGAGCGCCCCGTTTTATGGGATACCAGAGGACCCGATTGCCAGGGGCAGTTTGGTTTTATGGTTTCCCTTTCCTTTGAGAGAGCTTTGCACCTGTAGCGTGGTCCCTTCGCCGAATAACGTCGATGACCAGGAGCACCTGGTACCTGGTACCAGGTACCGGTACCGGTATGAAGTTCTAGAACTGAATATATCAAGCCATCAGAGCGGCCTATTCCCTACGCGTATCACACCAGATATAAATCACGAGCATCCAGTTTGTTTGAATTCAAAGTTTGCCAGTTGCTCATCACTCTGCTGCTACGGCACAATGGGTTTTTGTTTACTTTCGGATTACAGTGATAGCATTGATTGCAATGCGAAGCTTGCTTGTGTACATCCATTGACTATCAAGGGATTGAATCGATTGCTTCGAGATTATGCCTCAACTGTCAGCCCATCCATCCCGAGACGGTGGCAAGGCCTTCGAAAACGAGCAACCTCGAAGCAACCAGTCGACACAAGCGTTTCCGGAAGCACGTGGAAATCATCCTCAGCCAGCATTGGATATCTTGGTTCGTGGGACCACCAATGTCACAACCAACAGTCCCCGTAGTACTCACGGCCAACGTGTAAATCGAGTGTCTGCTTGGACTGTGGCGGGATTGCTCGTGCTTCTGTGGGGAGTTCTCAACAATGCCAACCACGTGGACCGGTACCGACGCAAAATCCAACAGATCATTCAAGAACCGGTGGCCATTGTCGCCATGAACAACGAAAGCAACAACGTCCGAGTTGTCGAGCCTCTTAGCGGTCCTCATCACGAACAGAAAAGTGCTGCCGTGCAAGGCAAGGAGCACGGTCGACGCTTTCGAAGAAATGAGACCCACAAAAACAAAACGTCTGATGAAAACAAAGTACTTCTGAATGAATATATCTCGAAGGACGATTCAACGTTGCAGCGCAAGCTACCATCAGTTATGGAACCACCACGAAACGCCGCCAATGCTGAGCAGGAACCTATCGGAGCGATCGAAATTTCCGCACCGGAGCCGACCAATGTGGTACCACCAAGTACGATGATCGAAACGAGCTCGAAACGCGCCAATCCCCAGCGTGTGAAAGCAGTGCAACGTGAAAGTAGCGGCGAGAAAAACAGTGTTAGCGACGAGGATTCTGCACCTGCTCTATCTGAGGATGACGGAAGGATCCCGGAACACCCAGATGAAAAGTGCTCCCCATGGGCAATCAGTTTGGATGAATGGTGGCAGGATCATCCTGACTGGGACGTGTCCACTGAGAACGATACCCACACGTGTTTTCGACCCATTGCCGACCCGCTGCGGGCAAGCTTTTTACGGCAGGTCCATGCCTTGCAGTTTGACAACAACACGTCAACTTGTGGCAAAGCTGCCATTCGAAAGGTCCAAGATATGGGCTTTGCAGCACTGATGTTGTTTCATATCAACAATGCCTTTTGGAGTGCCTTTCGACAAGGACGCCGTTTTCAAGTTGCTTTGCCGTATCAAGGTTTTCGGTGGCTCTACGTCCCGACTTCCAAATCGTCATGGGCACACTGTCCAACGCAAAACCAAGAGTGCTACTTCTTGCCAATATCCAACTGCCCTGAACCGCTTGAAGGGGATCGAGACGACAAACCAAAGAAAAAACACATTTTTCATGAAGTCTTTCACAACGACACTCTGGCCGAACAGAACATGTGGCTGTCTCATTACACCATGAGACCTCGACAAGTATTGCGACATCGTCTGTATCAATTCCTGCAGTCCAGCAATGTACCTGTGGCGCCAACGCCGTGTGTTTGGCTCCATGTGCGTAGAGGGGATTCAATGACGGAGCGGAACTATATTCGGAACTATTACAGACTCGAGGAGTACTTGCGTAGAGGCAAGGTGTCTCCGACAGACAATATTCTGTTGTTGACGGATGACCAAACTACCCTGGAGGAGGCACGGGTGCTCCACTCAAACTATCACTTTCACTATTGGAATCGAACCAGGGTTCGAGGTCCCGTGGAAAACAACGCCCACATTCCGTCCGGGGACCCGAGCTTAGAAGTCCTGTACATTCTCGCGGAACGCAAACTAGCCAGTCGTTGCCAAAAGGGGGTTCACGGGAACAGTAACATGGCAACTCTTTTTCGCAATGCCATGGCCTTGGAACATGGTGGATTGGGCAACCTTACCATGATGGCGATTGATGGACCATTGAAGAAGACACGAGTCGAACCAGAAGAATTTGTGAGGATGTTGGACACAACGTTGCTGAAAGCGCAAAACAAAACGGTGCGCACGCCAACATCTTCTAGATGACTCCGGCTCCGGAACCAACAGATTGCCGTGATGATGTAGTTTCTAGACCAAGCTCTTCCGTTTTTAGCCGTTCGGCTCTTCTAGAGAGCTCAGCAAGGGATGCCGTACTACGGTTGTAATACCTTGGAAACCGACTGATACTCGTTACTAGTACGTCCTCGCAGCTACTTCAAGTTCGGGAGGCAACCGTACCGGTACGGTCGTGAGTTTTGATGGAAGTAGAAAGATACCGAGCCAAGATGGGGTAATAAAACTCCAAAAGTATGAAACACCCAAAGATCCACGCTCGTTCGAACTGAAAAGCAAGCAACTCCACGGTGAGGCCGCCGTAATCTCGATCGGAGCAAAAGCAAACAACCAACATTAGCAATCAGCACCTGCATCCTGGCTCAAGAACAACCATGAACGACACCGCCACAATTTCGCTGGTCATCGTGGGCGCAGCGGCGGTCGCTGCGCCTTTTGTCTACGCGCTGCAAAAGTACCAGTACCGGTACGGAGGCGAACAGTTCAGCACTACCAAGAAGGATCATTTGACTCCTGCGATCGACGGTGAAACTATAGCTTCCGAAGCAAACACCGATGAGATGGAAGATGATGGTGGAATTGAAACAGGTGTTCACCACGGTACCCTTGAGCCTCAGTCGAGCCCACCACCAAGAGCCTCAACTCAGCAGGATGACGCATTTTCAACCTCCAAGAAACGTGGACATTGGCAAAGTTCTACTTCCCTGGCATCATCCGAGGCGATTCTCCTGAAGGATTCAAGTCAACGAGGCTAATCAAAAGGTCCCTACGGGATGAGGTTGAATGGAAATTGTTCCAGCTGAAGCAAAAAGACCAAGACAATTTTTTGGAATTGATGAAGCCGGAGAACGCGGAGGCACTTTGTTGCAAGATTGGTATTGCAATACACGGCTCTTAGCCTTATTCGCGACTCGATCCTAGATAGGGTTTGAGTTCGACTCATGACCGAGTCTCTCGTGAATAGTCATTTGAGACAGGGTTTCTCAATGACCGCGCTAGTCATACTAGGTTGATGATGAAACATCGCTCTAGATATTTAGCAGCGTGGTTACTTCCACGCTACTAGATCAGGCTAGACAAACCTTCCACGCGTTCGCTTTAGGACTGTGGAGAGACGTGGATTACTACCAGCAACTACTCTATCACACTTTATAGGTCTCCCGCGGAAGCCAGATCTAACGATCCTTGATGATGATCTCTTCTCGTCGATTAGTTTTCATAGCTTTCTAATCCTCTCATAACTTTCATTCTCTCAAACTCAAAACACTCAAAGATCTTTACACTAGCTTTTAAGCGTAGTGCATTTTGTTAACAAACACAATAGCTTTCAGCTACCCTCACCTATTCCTTCACCATGAAGATGGCTCAAGGAAAGCATGCGTTCCGCAACTTTCGAGAACAGTTGCGTGACAAACCATTCTTCCTCTCGTCGACAATGACGAAGACACGAGATCGACGATACTCGTGCCAACACTTGCAACTTCGCACCATTGCCAAGCGCAAATCAGAAAGACTCTGACAATGAGGACAACTCCTCTATCAATTTCAATCACTTGGATGGAGAAATCTCTTTGAGGATTAGGCCAGTGATGATCAACGGAACCCTGTTCCGATTTCTCATCCAAAGTGATGAAGATTCTCACTAACTAGTAAACAAGATTGTTTGCAACTGATGAACTCTACGGCAAATTAGATATTGCCTAGAAGCTGCTCACTAGACTCTGATGATCTATTTAGCATCGTTAACCTCGTCCGTGGCCAACCACCTCGTAAACGTCGCAAACAAGAGACCTCAAACATCGTCTATGTTAGATTAAACAAGGAGAAAAAGGAAACCAAACCCGTTACACTCCGATTGCTTACTGGATACAGAGCACTCGGAACTTGATGCTCAAAACTCGCTAAGGAAATTACGCATGAAGGTCTTGGGGGCGTCCAAACGAATGTGGACTACCCTGCAGTGAGAATTAAACCAGCACGAAGTGCAAAGGTGCATTCAGTATTCCTGAATTCCACGAAGATAGAATATCGAGTGGGACTTACACGTCACAAAAAGCTTGGGGGCGTATGACATGATCTAGGTCAAGATATTCTCTCTGACTTAGTTTCAAGTTCGATTTCACTACATATGTCAGTGGAATGGGACGGCGCATCTATTCCTATGAAAGAAGCGATACAATGAAGAGAAAACTTATTTCATTTCCTGATCCTACCGCTGCTGTTGATGACAGTGCAGATCGTCTCGCATAGTGACAGATTCTTGATGCAAATACGAACAAGCTGACTTAAAGGTAGGTTTGCCAAAGTCAAGATCAGTTAAACACGGAAGAAATGAACAGCTTCATTCCTACTGATCGAAGTACTCTGACCTTTTCGATGGTACTTTGGGAAGGTGGCAGATGGACGACGTGAAGTAGAACTTCTCCGTGATGCTAACCTATCATGCGATAAGGGCCTTACCCATGATTCCACGAGCGTCCATACCTAACAACTCTTAGAGATGGAGGTCTGAACGTCTTCGCGAAGCAGAAGTACTCCAGGAACGGTAATCCGATTGCCGAGTGGGCTGGGACCACCGAACGCTTATCATCATTCCCAGAAAGCGGGATCTGTAGATATCATCTCTGATTTTCCGGGAACTTGAACAAAAGGATTAAGCGGAAGCCTTATCA